TGAAGATTAAACTAAAAATTTTGTTGTGTATTGTAAATTATTTATTTTCACTTATACAGCTTCTCTGCTTAAACATTCAAGCTGTCAACTGAACCGTTTCTTTTGTTGTTCTTAACCGATGCCTACATTTAACAGTTGTTCACCGCAAGCTTTCTCACTACAACCGGAATTCACTCTCCCGCCTACCTAACTCTCACCTCACACACACATTCGCAGCCGCTTCTGTCAATTGCGTTTTAGTTGTTTTGCTCGTTTGTTTCGCTCTGCATAGTTTGTGTGGTATGTGCGTGCATGTGTGTACAATTTTACACATGTATTTGGACAGTGTGCAAGTGGGTGTTTGTCTTTTTGCCACGTTTGTTTTGGTATGTGGGTTCGCTAGTTGCGCCGCATTTGCTGTTTTAATTTTTTTGCGCAGTTTTGCTTAGCTCTTGTTTTATTCGCTTCTCTCTTGATTTTGCTTTGTTGTGGTAAAAACCAGTTTTAATGGCTTTGCATCAATTTCAGTCAAGGCTTAGCTTAGTGGCTATACGTGTATTATCTCCCTTTTATTAACTATTCGCCGTCCGATGGACACATGATGGCGAATGCGCAAACCCTCTAGGCTTGCTTACGATCTATTTTTAGGAGCTAAATTAACTTGAGATTGCCCGTAGATTAGTATTTGTACGCGTGAAACGATTATTATGTTCCTTTTTGCCATATTTGATGCAGTCAAAGTTTTAATATAATATAATAGTATGAACTATAAAGCTAATTAAGTACTTTTTACACTTAGTTGCTATAGACAAATTACGATTTAGAGGGTGTGTTTGAGGTATTTGAAGTGTAACACACTTGAGGTGAATCTATAACTCCAAACTTTTGATCCTAGCCCCTGCTGCTTTAATACATCTCTAGTAAGAATGAATATTAAAATGGAGCTAAATTTTCTGTGGTATTGCTTATAAAATAAATATTTTGTGACTTTCAAAGTATTAGAATATCTTTTGATTTAGATTTCGAAAGATGAAAAATTATGTATATGAAGTGATATTTTCTAAGCGTGATCTTATAAGGAATAGAGTAGTCAATCATAGACTTAATGAAACTAATTATTCACTCGATTGCAGTTGAAAATAACCAGAACCAGACGTTAATATCCAAATGCATTATAATCTACCTAGCCGCCCCTCACATATTGCGGTCTTATCGGGGAAGGGGTTTCTGATGTGTCTGAGAGTCATGAGCAAGAGCAATTGACCTTATAAAACATTTCCTTTTTATGTTTTATCACTACAGCAATTTGTTAATTGAAATTGAAAAGCAGGAATTGAGAATTTCACGGTTAGTCGACTTTATTTAATATGGACGATAACCCCCAGCGGGGTCCAACGGCATTTAATTGTGAGTTTCAGACTCTGATCATGATGATTATCGCATGTTAAAAATAAAACGCGTGCCAACTGCCAGCTGCTCAATGAAATTCTTAATGATTCCAATTTTAAATATATATTTATATATATATTTCCGTTGCTCTGAAAATGTTTATATTGTTATTTACATTAAATTTAGCGGCACTGATAAAAAACAACGTAAATATATTCTTTACTTACAGGAGTATGGCATCTCAAAAAAATGCGAGTTTCTGTTCAAGCTCGACTACAGCCTCATTGAGCTGGACAATTCGAACGGGCTGTTGAGTCCTCGCTATCCTGGACGCATACTCATACCGGAATACGAGCATGGCCACATGGCCAAGACGCTAATACCCAGCAATGGGCTGGGAGGTGGCGGCGGCGGCTCATCGGGCACAACGACAACGGCGACGCCGCTGAACGGCAGCGCCAACAGCAATTGCAGCAATGGCAGCAGCAACAATGCCGCCAACGCTGGCGTAGGCATTCAGGCCTTTGTGACCTTCGCCAATCCGCTGCAGACGCCACAGCATCCGCAACAGCAGTCGATGCCACAAGTACCGCACCAGCAGTCGCAGCAGAACACCATCTATGAGGATCAGTATGATATACAGCGCATACGTGAGCTGGTGACTATGGCGAAGTATGCGCGCTGCAGGCAGCGCTTCGCGGTGCCCGTTATAATGTATCGGGGCAAATACATCTGCCGTTCGGCCACATTGTCCGTGATGCCAGAAACGTACGGCCGTAAGGTAGTAGATTACGCTTACGATTGCCTCAGCGGCAATTATGCCGCACCCAATGGCGAGGAGAACGAGGCCGACACCACGGACGAGTCACTAATCAATCACATCAACGATCAGGCACAGTCGCAGTTCAGCTACGATGAAGTCATCAAGAGCGACATCCAACTACTGAACACACTGAACGTGTCCACCATAGTAGACCTCATGGTAGAGAATCGCAAAATCAAATACTTCATGGCGTAAGTCCACAAATACACATCAAATAAACTTTCATTTAGAATAAGTTCGAGAACAGTTCATTGGAACAAACTGCGGAACTTATTCAGTGAACGCTAATATTCAGTCGATCCATATTAGACGTTCAATAGTTCATGTTCCACTGAGTTGTTCAACTGTTTTTAAACGATATGTTCGAATCGTTTAGAAACGAACTAGTGATCGAACTAGTGAATGAGTCGACTTCATTCATCAAATTGAATATTAATAATAATTAAAACACTTTTACAGCGTCTCTTCGTCGGAAAAGGCGGATCCGAACAAGCACTATAAGAGCTTTAACCTGCTATCGCTGCCGTATCCGGGCTGTGAATTTTTCAAGAAGTTCCGGGACAACAATTACATGGCCAAGAATCTACACTACAACTGGAAGCAGTCATTTAACGATGCCAACATTAATATACCCAATCTGGGACCCGCCGCCGACATCGACATCATTTGGCCTGAGTACAGGGACTGGGATCTGGTCACTATTACCCAAAACTATCTGCGTGCCACGCTTAAGTATATACAGGAAGATAACTCAGGGCTGCTGATACACTGCATAAGCGGCTGGGATCGCACGCCCCTCTTCGTCTCCCTGGTGCGCTTATCGCTGTGGGCCGACGGACTCATCCATCAGTCACTCAACGCTTTGCAAATGGCGTACTTTACTCTCGCCTACGACTGGTATTTGTTTGGCCACCAGCTGCCCGATCGCCTCAAGCGGGGCGAGGACATCATGTTTTTCTGCTTTCACGTCCTCAAGTTTATCACCGACGAGGAGTTCAGCATTGTGGAGCACCGCAAGCGCACCAAGACGTCCAGCAGCAGCGGTAGCAGTGTCATTGTCATCAAATCCGACTTGTGTGACGATGAGCCACTCAAGGAGTAAGTACATTTCAGCTAAATATTTTCGGTTTAGGGATCATGAATATCCCTATTATATTGTTGACTCACTAAATTTGGTATTTGGTTTATGTTCCCGCAGAGATTACATTTTGGCCTTCGATCAAGACAGCAACGATAGCTACTCAAACTGTTCCAACTGTGATATGTCCATAACAGATAACTTCTATGCCACAACAACAACAACAGCACCAGCAGTAGCAGCGACTGCACCACCAACGCTCGTTAATCCGCTCACCAGTCGATCCCCGAATCCAAAGCGGTAATACATTTACTTGTCTAGTATTTACAAGATATTTGACATTGTTTTCCTGTTCACGCAGATCCCGCACTAGCCCAATTTCTGTGCCCGGCTCGAATGCGCGCCAGCGTCAGGAATCGACTTCATCGAACGGCAGCTGGCAGGTGGTCACGGATACCGGATCCATTGACTCCATGATGAATGGAAGTTACATGATGCGCTTTGTCTCGCAGCAGCATCAACAACAGCATCAGCAGGCGGACAACATTCCAATGTGCAATGGCGGCAACGGATATCATTGCAGCACAAACACGCCCAGCGCCTATCCCAGTGCCAGCGGCAGTAGCAACAGCAACATGAGCAACATGAGCAACACTAGCAACAGCAACAGTAGCAACAACACGCACGGTTTCGTTAATGGTTCCTCCAAGGATTCTGCCAATGCCAGTGCCAGCGCAGCAGCCTCCAAGCAGTGCATCAATTTGTAAGTTCAATTCAATCCATTATAAAATGTTCAAATGAACTTGCATCGTTAGTGACTACTCTGTAATTTTGGTTCAATAGAACTAGTACCTAATATCTAATCAGCCAAACCAGGGCTGCAAGCCACAAGCTACAAGCACGATTCAAATTAGAAGTTTGATCCAGTAAAATTATTAACAATAAGGGATTTAAGCTGAAGCAGTTTAATCACTTGAAACTTTTTACTCTACCTATTCGAATTAATAAAGCTATGTTTATTCCTTGTAGACGCAAACAACGGTTAAACGCTGTACGCGCGATCTTCATACAAGCTTATGGCAAAACGATTGGACTGAAATTCAAAGAAGGCTCCTCAATGAATCTGGCGACGTTTATTGGCAATTTGGCGGATCAGCTGTTTTAGGTTATTTGGCTGATAACTGAACTAAATCTGGAACTAGAACTGGAACTGGAACTGAAATGTGCACCCGTTGAAAGTATGCCACATGATCACATCCACAAGGACCGACCGACCGATTTAACCGACCGACCGACCGATGGACTGACTGCTGGGATTGTGGCTTTGTTGTTTGTTAGTTAGCCTTGTTAGTGCTGCGCTTTTTTACCATGGACTGTATTTTGTAGACATGTTGAATTACGTTCTTTGTGACTTGTTGATAATAAAAAGAAAACAAATGCGAAAAACATAACAAAAATAGTAGAGGAAAATATGCAATGTACAAGTAGCCAAGTTCCTTGAGCGCAGATCAGCGCCTGCACTCCACATCCTATGGACAACAAATATATATATCTATATATATATACCGTGCAATCCTCTCCAGGCGCTGTAGATAGCCAGCTCAGCTGCATGCATGTCCCATTTGTTTCGAAAAAATGTTTGTTTATACAAAAATTGAAATCAGTTAAAATAATAGTTCTAAGTTGTAATTTATAGTAATGTATTTTTTAAATAAACTTATTGTGCATTTGATATAAAAAACTAAGCGTATAATCCTTCTTATTTAAAGTTTTTCAGATTGAAGTAGTATTTGGCACTGAGCGAGCCTCTTTATTGGCAGTTTCTGATCTTCTTTCAGCTGATCAGAGACCCCTTCTATGATGAACTTACATTGTTATCCAACTTCCAAAAAACGCAACTAAAAGCGCCTTTTGCTTTTCCGCCTCACATTCGACATAGGCAAATGGTCTTTCAGATCCAACCGCTTCAGTCTCACTTGAACCCGCTTTACATAGTGCTTGGCGCTCTTGAGCGGCACATAGCGCAGCTGAAGATCATCTTTTTGAACGGGTGCTACTTCTGACTGACTCTGTAGCTTCTGCTGCTCTACTTTAAGAAGATATGGTGGATCTTCTTTGATAAGTTGTTTGGAATGGCGATCAATTGGTTCTGGAGACGCATACTCTGGTTCAGGCTGTGGGTGCTCTGGTTCAGCTTGTTGGTGCTCAGACTGTGTGTACTGTGGTTCTGGCTCTGGTTCAGGCCGTGGGGGCTCTGATTTAGATTGTGAGTGCTCTGGTTTAGGCTGTGAATGCACTGATGCAGGCTGTGGGTTCTCAGGTTCAGACTGTGGTTCTGGATGAGTATGTTCTGGTTCAGGCTGTGGGTGCTTTGGATCTGGCATGCAATGCAGGTTGTTGAAGTTGCTGCGGTTGATGCTGATGGAAGTAATACTTTTAGGCAGGTCTTTGACGCATATTTTCTTAAAAAACTCATCGTAATCGCTCTGCACCAATTGAGCTTCTTTTTCACCGAGTGACTTGCACACTGAACGCCCATCGCGCTCTTCACTAAATATGGCATCCAGTACCTCTACCTCTAACTGCCTTTGCAGTGTCGGCGACAATTGTTCAATGAACGGCAGCTGATTGAGAATAAACAATTGCGTTGGAGTAACTCCCTTGACGTTCGCTCGCGGCTTGACGTCCATCATCTTGCTAATTTTCCACATTATAGTGTGCAGTTGTTTTGGCCATCGGTCCTGTTGTTTTGTGAACAAGGGACAGATGGAACGCAAGATGTCCCAACGCCAGCGGAGCTCCTCAACGGAAAAGGGGGTACTGAGCTGTAAGCCTTCGTACCCATGGTTGAAGGCCTTGGCTATTTCCTCCCAACCCCACTCTTCGTAGTCCTTGTCATCTTGGGGATCCACCGCTTTGCTAAATAGGTATGGATACATGTAGATCAGTTCGAGAAGGCGAAGATCGTTTAAAACTATTTGAGAATTCGCGTTTGTATTTGTGATGTTGATTTCTATTTGTGTTGAATCCTCACAGTCATTATTGTCCATTATGTTATACTTTCTTTTTTATTTCAATAGTCTAGACTATTGTTTTTTAGTTGTTAATTTGAGATAAATTTAAGAGAATAAACTAAATGAAGATGGACCTATCGATAAGAATACTTATTTTCTTATCGCTAGTGATGGGAGCTAGAGATGATGCCACATGTATCATCCCTAACCGAGCCTTGCGATGCTTATTGTAAAAATTAATCGCCACGGTATTTGACTTTTATTGCAAGCTGAAACAGGAATTCACTTCAACTTTCGAGTTAAGGGATGATATGTTATATCTTATTTTATTACCTTTTCAACTATTCATAATATAACTATAACTATATAATATAATTTTAATTATAAAAAACATTATCAAATGGGCTAGCAGCTTACTAGGCTTGATTAATTTTTTTATTTACTATCTTCACAGTTGCATAGTTAGTTATTCTACGCAAAGTACTTTATAAATGTTGGAAATGTTTTAAAAATATTTTGCAGACGTTACTGCAAATTCAAATTTTGGCTGCCTTTTAAGACACTTCTTGTATATCGATATAATTGCGCTTTAATATAGAATTATTCAACACTTGTTGCTTAAATGAACTGGAACTGCTTGTTTATTCAACTCGATCATCCGTACTTGATTCGTTTACTGATTGCTTGGTGTAAAATATTAGTTTCTTATATGCCATGTTGCAATGCTTTTAATTAAATATTTATTGAAATTTTTTATATACAAGTAATATAATTACAATATCATAAACAAACACTAGATTCGTTCATTTGGGGGTAGTACTTTTGTTTTTCTTAAATTATTGTGTTAGCCAACACTGTTTTTAAGCATCTGCCGGTGATTTGAGGCAGCCGTGTACACAATATACACACATTTTGCAAATAATTCCGTTGTGAAATAAGTTAAAAAGTTGCAATCAAAACGCCAAGATGAGTGGCGGAACAATGTTGTATGGCGGCGATGAGATTGGTGCGCTAGTTTTTGATCCTGGGCACCATTCCCTGCGCGTGGGATACGCTCAAGAAGATTCGCCCAAAGCTGAAATCCCTTCTGTTGTTGGCATTGGTACCAGCGCGCCCGACTCCAATCTAGATCCAGAGACGAAAACAGACAATAACGCTACGCCAAATAGTGAGTACAAAGAAGACAGTACAATTAATATTTCACTAAATAACCCTTACATCGTTCACAATAGATGCCGACGCGCGGAAGTTCTATGTGGACACAAACTACGTGAATGTCCCTCGGTCACAGATGGAGGTGCAAACATATATGAAAGACGGCATGATAGACAACTGGGAGCTATTTGAGAAAGTCATCGACTATGCGTACGCAAACGTCATACAATCTGAGCCAGAGTATCATCCGGTGCTCTTTTCAGAGGCTTCGTGGAACGTACGAAATAACCGCGAAAAGCTAACCGAGCTTATGTTTGAGAAATACAACGTGCCAGCCTTCTTTCTGGTCAAGAATGCTGTGTTGGCCGCGTTCTCCAGCGGACGTGCCACAGCTCTTGTGGTAGACAGCGGCGCTACACATACATCGGCTGTGCCCGTGCACGAGGGCTATGTGCTCTCTCAGGCGGTAGTTAAATCGCCGCTTGGTGGCGATTTCCTTTCTAGGCAGTGCAGGCAGCATTTGGAAAAGCTGAACATTGACTTGTCGCCCGTGTATAAAATAGCATCAAAGGAGGTTGTCAAAGAACGAGACAATGCACGTTTTACACTGCGAAAATTGCCCGAGAATCTCACACAATCGTGGCAGAACTATATGGTACAGCTAATGATGCAGGACTTTCAAATGAATGTTCTCCAGGTGCTGGAGAATCCTTTTGACGAGCGTGTCGCCTCCCAAATACCTATGGTTCATTACGAGTTCCCCAACGGCTACCACCAAGACTTTGGCTCGGAGCGCTTCAAAATTGCCGAAAGCCTGTTCGACAATGCAATGTTAGGAGCAGGACAACTTGCTTCCACCAGCGTTGGAATGTGTGATGCGGATGTGCGTTTATCACTCTTCGGCTCCGTTGTGGTGACAGGTATATGTCAGGCTTATTTAATCAACTTAATCAGAAGACTAATCCAATTTATTGTCTTCATTTGCAGGTGGAAACACACTTCTTCAAGGTTTTCCCGAACGGCTCAATCGAGATTTGCAATTGCGCGCGCCCTCGAATACGCGCCTTAAGATGATTTCAGCAAACGGCAGTGTCGAGCGAAGGTTTGGCGCTTGGATTGGTGGCTCCATACTGGCCAGCATTGGCACTTTCCAGCAGATGTGGATATCATCGCAAGAATACGAGGAGGCTGGCAAAAGCCAAGTGGAGCGCAAATGTCCATAAATTCAGCTCTGCGCCAAGCAAGCAAATTCCAATTATTATTGTATATTTAGTAAACAGATGATAATTTTTTATGTAAACTATTTAGTGTGCACCCAGATCAATGGGCTGCTTTGTCAACTGACCTATTTAGGTTCCATTAACAAGTCTATAAATGTATTTTTTCTTGATCTTATTTCAAGAATTGGGGTTTGTTTTTATAGCTGTCAGTCGACAGACTATCTTTCTCTTATCTTTCACCACACATTATAAGTAAACCTAAAAACTCATTTTTAGAGATATGGTGAAAATATAAAATGCTTGGCTGTTTATGGATATTCTAAAGCTGTATTTGATTAAGTAGTCTTTTAGGTCAGTAAGATACGGTTCGTTTATTAGAGAACTTTATCAGGATATATACTAAAAATCATCACTTGTTAAAGATTTATATTATTTGTTTAGTGCATTCGTTGTGCGGAAATGTAATTTTAGGATTGATCGTTCGCTGATGGAGGTTTGTAATGGCTCTCTGGTTTTAGGATAAATTCTCTATGCCGCTTGCCCGGTTCCACTTCATAAGCAATCTTTATAGAGTGAAGTTTTGGCTCATGTATCTTAGAGTTCTTTGAGTAGGCCGGCTTGCCAAGCGGCTTTCGGCGTCGAATGGTATCTTTGGTTATTTGGGTGCATAGTATTAAAAATCGTCACATGGCACCGGACATAGTGTTGTTGCAGACGCATTGCTAAAAATGGGATCAAGATGCGTTAAGCAGGTATTCAAATTGTGAAGCTGTACATACCTTGGCATTTAAAATGTCTTCAGACCAGTCTTCCTTGGCAATGCGGCCAACAGCATTCACTAGAATCTTCTTCACCTTAGTCACGTTCTCAGCAAAAGTCTTGAGCACATCCTGCACGTTGACACCTTCGCAACCCATACGCCAGCAATCATAGTCAGTAGCAATAGCTACGGAGCCATATAACAAGCCCGCCTCCTTAGCCAGAACAACTTCTGGGCAAGTTGTCATATTGATCAGATCTCCGCCCCACTGTCGGAACATGTTACTCTCCGACCGGGAGGAGAAACGCGGCCCCTCTATGGTAACAATAGTAGCCTTATCATGTGCATCGTACTCCAGTTCCTTAGCCGCATCTAGCAGAACCTTCCGCGTGCGCTCAGAGAAGGCTGGATACATGGGCAAATGACAAACGCCAGTCATGCCCGCGTGCTGGCCATCATAGAAGGTCTGCATGCGCTTGGTGGTGCGATCAATAAAGTCATGCGGCACCACCAAATTACCTGGCTTAATGGACTCTCTGAGAGAGCCACAAGCAGTCGACACAATCAGATGTGTGCAGCCCACCTGACGCAGGGCCCAAATGTTGGCACGATAATTTACATTGGATGGCATTATATCATGCTTGCGACCATGTCGAGCCAAAAGGACACACTGTACCCCTCCGATTTCACCTTCAATGAGGGAATCAGACGGAGCACCGTATGGAGTTTCCACTATCTTTTCCTTACGCTGCTCCAAAATGTCCGGATCATCCAGACCCGAGCCACCAATGATACCAATCTGTGATTAAAAATTATTGAAAAATATGTAAGCGTGTATTAAATGTACATATATATTCATTTATATTTTCTATATATATATACATATATATTCAGATAAATGGATGGCTCTTCTCACCTTAACTGGAATCGGATCTAGATTGGTGTCTTTACATTTAATGTGTATCATTGTAATAGACGGATTAAAATGCTGTATACCGGATTTAAAATGTGATGAAGAACTGGTCGCTGTCTCCGCGCTGATAGCGTTGTTGTTGATAAGATGTCAAGTGTAGCGCAGCTGAAAAATGTAAGGCATACTAATTAATAAGGTGTGGGAGTTATAGTTTTTACAACAACAGGTTTCATAAGAACATGAAACTTTATCAAATGCTGAAATAAACTTAATTATAAATAAAATTACTACAATATAACAATATTTTGAATTTTTCATTTATTGGCAATAATAGTATTTGATTACAATGCAAATTTTTGTAAATGTAGGGTGTTTTTGAACTTGTAGCAGCTTAATAGCTTTAGCTTTGTCTGACAGCTTACACGAGAGACAGAGATCGTTTTTCAACACTGTTTTAACATTTTCTGGTCACATTACATTTGTAAGAAGCAGACAAATGTAAACAGCTGTGTTCATGCAAGCACATGTGCCGATGCACCAGTTTTACGAATTAAGCCAATGATGGGATATGAAATTGACTTGCCTGGCAACGATATAGATGATATAGAGGACTTGATATCGCCCGAAGATATAAAACCGCGTGAGCGTTATGAAAACAAACAGAACGTTACAGTGCGTGCGAAGAAGCGTGCACAAATCAAGCCCGCGTTATGTGATGGCGACACAGAGGCGACGCCACAGCCGCAGAAAACCATTTACGAAAGTGTTATACCAGGCACCCAAAAGGTTTATGTGAAGACATGGGGCTGTGCACACAACAACTCGGACTCTGAATATATGGCCGGCCAGCTGGCAGCGTATGGCTATAATTTGAGCAGCAAGGACGAGGCAGATCTGTGGCTTCTCAACAGTTGCACCGTAAAGAATCCTTCGGAGGACACTTTTCGCAATGAGATCGAATCTGGCATGCGCAGCGGCAAGCATGTAGTTGTTGCTGGATGCGTGCCGCAAGGCGCCCCAAAGTCCGATTATTTGCGTGGACTATCCGTGATTGGCGTGCAGCAAATCGATCGAGTTGTCGAGGTGGTCGAAGAAACTCTGAAAGGTCACAGTGTGCGCCTCCTCCAGAACAAGAAGGTCCACGGCCGTCGAGTGGCCGGTGCACCATTGTCGCTACCAAAGGTGCGAAAGAATCCGCTAATCGAAATCATATCCATAAACAGTGGATGCCTCAATCAGTGCACCTATTGCAAAACTAAGCACGCACGTGGCGATTTGGCTAGCTATCCGCCGGGTGAAATAGTTGAGCGTGCACGTCAATCCTTTGACGAGGGTTGTTGTGAAATCTGGTTGACTTCTGAGGACACCGGTGCCTACGGCCGGGATATTGGCAGCTCATTACCAGAACTGCTCTGGCAACTTGTCGAGGTCATACCTGAGCACTGTATGCTACGTGTTGGTATGACGAATCCGCCCTACATTTTGGAACATCTCGAGGAGGTAGCCAAGGTGCTACAGCATCCACGTGTTTACTCATTCCTTCATGTGCCCGTCCAAGTAAGCTGCTATAATTAATTATATAAAACTTTTATTAAATTGATTTTTTGTAGAGCGGCAGTGACTCAGTACTGGGCGAGATGAAGCGAGAGTATTGCCGCAAGGACTTTGAGCACGTGGTCGATTTCTTAAGGTCTCGTGTGCCCGGTCTGACAATTGCCACTGACATTATATGTGGCTTTCCCACAGAGACGGAGCAGGACTTTGAGGAGACAATGACAATGTGCAAGAAATATCAATTTCCCAGTCTGTTTATCAATCAGTTCTTTCCCCGACCGGGCACGCCGGCAGCCAAAATGGAGCGCATACCAGCTAATCTGGTAAAGAAACGTACCAAAAGGCTAACCGATTTATTCTACAGTTACGAACCGTACGCGGGTCGTGAGGGCCAGTTGTACACGGTGCTGGTAACAGAAATATCACATGATAAGCTTCACTACGTGGGGCACAATAAGAGCTACGAGCAAGTGCTGCTACCAATGCGAGACAACCTGCTGGGCACTCGGGTGCGTGTGCGAATCACAGGCACAAGCAAGTTCAGCATGATGGCCGAGATTCTGGACGAGGAGAGCGACTGGACACGTTGTGACTATAGCAAACCAACTCAACTCACGACATGCCAGCGCAGTCGAGGCCAACACTATATAGGCATCGCTTTATTAGTAGGCGCCATAGCATATACGTTGCAACTGCTTTATCGTTTGTTATCTCAGTGAAATAAAATGACAAAAAATGGATATTGAATTGATAATTTAAGTAACGATTGGTTTAATCCTAATTGTATATATATTACTAAGAATCTTATTTCGCTGTTATGTTGGCCTTTAGTACTCATCCGAGGGTTCGGTGCCAAAGTAACGATCGCCAAAGTTGCCAATACCAGGTATTACATAAAACTTGCTGTTGATCTCTGGGTCCAGAGCGGAAGTCACAATTTTCACCTGCTCAACCAAGAAGTATTTATATAGTAGAGCATATATATGGTAGTAATACTAATATAACTGACCTTGGGAAAGGCATAGGCGATCGAGTGCACACCTATCTCGGCCATCAGCAATGAGGCAAGAATAATATTCTGCTCGGGAACATCATGATCGAGTAGCACTCTGATGGCCATCATGGCGGCAGCGCCAGTCGCCACGGTAGCATCCATCAGTATCACTTTAAAGTCTTTTATATCTTTGGGCAGGCGCAGATAGTAAAGCTCTGGCTCGCCCGTTTTCAGATTTGTCTGTATTAGAATCTTGCCAATGCGTATGTCCTTGCATACATCACAAACGGCCTGCTCCATTGTTTCACCTGCTCTCAATATGGATACGCCGCATATCTTACGGGACTCCATGCGTTTGCCCTCGTAAAAAACACCTTGCGGTGTCTCCACGCAAGTTGCCTTAAAAGGAAACAAACTTAATGCATATTCTATGACCAGCCGTATAAGCCGCTTCGAATAGAAGATAAACTCATCCCGCGACGTATTCTTGCAACGTATGAATGTGTGCAGACCCTTAATTTGTGGCGTTGGGTGCAATAAATGCAAAGATTCTGGCATTGGCTGATCCTTATAAGAATTGGCCAATGTTTCACGTAGCTTAAAACCACGCTGCAAGTCAAATTTAATTGGTTGGTCAATTGGTCAATTGATCAGGCGCTTGTCTCTTACCAGTTGCAGCTGTGTATGTACATGTTGCACTATAAGAGCTATTGCCACTTTGTTCTCGCCCCCACGTGGCACAATAATGTCCGCATGGGCCATTGTAGGCGCTATATAATTAGCGTACGACGGCTTTACCATATTTAGATATTGCTTTAGAACACCTTTCAAGTCACGTCCCCGCTGCGAGATATCACTGAAAGTTTTTTAATAAGTGATTATTAGATCAGAGCAGCTCTATCTATCAAATCGATTCGCTTACCGCTTAAGTCTTCTTGCCAGACGAATATCTGGGTCTGTGTCCACAAAGATTTTCATGTCGAGCAGCTTCAGCACCTCAGAACTATGAAAGGTAAGTATACCCTCGAATATTATAACATTAGCGCCATACATGGTTTTCTAAAAGCACATAAAATATTATTTTAAATAAGTAACAGATATTTACTATAGATAGTACATATAATATAATGTTTGAAAAACTTATCTTTACTCCACATCATATAATAATATTGAGTTATCGTACTTTAACAGCTGCTATAAATATAGCATAGGAGATAAGATGTGACATAATGTGTGACATAAATATATTTGATAACTGTCGTTGTTTCATATAATACTTGTAGAACAAGGCATTGCACATTGTATACCACTCGATATTTTTATATATTTATATTTAACATTATTTTATGATCATATTGTATATTAACCCATTTCTTTTTTCCTGCCATGGAGAAATCGATTTCATGCAATGCGAGTTTCACAAATTGTTTATAAATTATAGTATTATTATATATACACTTAATCTAAACAATTAAGACTGTTCTGGATCATACATTCTTCTTCTGCTTGTTACATACATTTTCACAAAGCCATTATACCCTTAATTTAATGGATTCAGGGTATAAAAAGCCCAATCAAATTACCGTCTGACTCTCTCGGCCGTGCGTCACAAAATTGTAAACTGGAACTTCCACCTTTCTGCCCTCCTTCAGTTTGGTGAGAACATCGATAAGCAGATCAATGTCAAATGCATCTGGATGATCAAAGTTATATTCATTGATGAGCGCCAGCTCATGTTGCTTCTCATTAAGGATCTACAAATAAGATAAGAGAGCTTTAATATGATTTGCATGTTGAGTGTGTAGCATTCTTCACTTTTTTATACCTTGTAAAAGCAGTCCATGGACAATAAGGTCACCCAAGGCACATCGAGGCTTTCTATGATTTTCTCTGCCACAGTCGTTTTGCCAGAGGCACTGCCTCCGCAAATGCCTGCAAATATATATAACTATATATAAAAATAACTCAGCTATAGATATTGAATATGATTTACGCACCTATGACAAAGGGTTCGACCTGTTGGCCGGCACAATTGTACCACGGCGGTCGTCCGGCCGTATAGATGGTGCGATTATTCGAGCGTATTATGCCCTCGGACGGATTGGCAGTGGTTGTCTGGTTACCAATCGACGTGGTTCGCTGACGACGTCCCGAACGCCGCATCGGCGACTCTAGGGCCGACTTTGCCGGCACAGTTGTTGGCGAGGCCGGGCAGCAATTGAGTTCGCTGCCCATTGCACTGGTATCAACGGCGATCGGTTCGGTAGCATCTGGACGATCATCGCTGCAAAAGCACATCAAATAAGAAAATATTAAAAATAATATTTAAGACTCAGATATGTACAATAACGATTAACTACAACACACAACTGCAACAAGTTTCAAGTGCCAATAAAAATATCAGTTAATAAACACTGATTTCGCATTTAACGTGCTCCCCTGCCTTTTTATTTTTCAGATTAGATTCAATTGGCACACGACAACAGCGATTCCCGGTTCCCTGTGCTTCATCATCGCCCAAATATTTGCAGAATAATATCAACTAAAAAAGAATAAGAAAAGTAGAAAAAACCCCACTACTTGATTTGATTTTTTTAGTATAATTTAAATTTTCATTTCAGCTGAGTGGTGAAACTTTATTTAAGCAAAGTTTGCTTTAAATACGTCAAAAAAGTGAGAGTTAATCTTGTACTAAATCAAGTAGTAATCTATTAGTACAAGTTCTTATTAAAATATTTAAATTTTTCATCGGTTAACAAAAACTGATTTTTGATAACTATGTTTATGAGTCTTATATTTCTCTTTATGTAGATACACTTATTGAAGATATATATATATCTATATACTATATATATATATATATATATATATATATATATATATATATATATATATACACATTTGTTATGTATTATACATTGTATGAAAAGTGTGTAATACCCTCAGCTAAGAGTATTAAAAACAATGCGCAAAATCTAGGTATCTTAATCTATGATAAGCAGTGACTAATTAGCTCTATCTGCCTATTTCTCTCTCTCTCTCTCTCTACATATATCTTTGCGTCATATCTGTCCAATCGTTTGATAAAACAGGGTATTACAAGGTTTGATATTCAAATTATATTTATAATTGTGATTGTATATATTATTAAACAGAGTCATTATTAATCATAAGTAAAAATCAAATGTATCAGTTTTCATTACCATATTGCTCTTGCCTCGTTTATTTATTTACCATCCAATCTCTAGAGTCTAGACAGTACACAATAATAAAGACGTGCACACATCACAGAAATTCATTTCAGACACATTTCCCAAACCAAAGTAATAGAACACTTTCGAGCCCCAAACAGAATCGACAAAAATACACGCGCATGCATGTTTACAATAGTCTACTATATATACATATATAAAAAGATATATATATATATATATCTCAATAGTAAAATTGATATTTTATGTAAATAATAATGGGGTAAATGAATAAACACAAAAAAAAAACAAAAAAAATGATGACAAGTAACTAAAATAGCAATTTTATTGCAGATCCCATTTAAAAAGATAATATTTGTTCCTGTTTTATGTTTTTTTTTCGATACCAAAATAAGTAAGCTTGTTCAGCCACTTCAGGTAAATAAGCTATAATATATGGCTATATAATGCAGTCTTCCCCTGTCACCACCCCAAATAAACCAACCATTTTCAGTCTGGAGGTATGCAAAATTCTCAGACGAGCCTCAAATAACCCTTGCGGAAAATGTTCGCTATCCACAATTCAGTCAGTCAACTGCATAATAATGCAAAAAGACATACATACATACGTACATATGTGTGTAACTAAGTATGTAAACTGTAATTACGTCTGCTATACGAGTACCGTTCATTGCACTCATTGTGGGTGTCGTACATTATACACAGTATTTATTCCTTAGACATATTCGCAATTTTCAGGCAATTGCTGCAGCCGTTGCTACTGTAGCTTATTTATAGTTGAACAGCGCATGAACATATGTATGCATGCATGTATGTATAAAATGTATGTGAGCATTGATGAAGCTTAATATCAATATAGTGCGTGAAAAATATGGTTAGGGGTTGGCTTCACGTGTTGCGACCAACAGGTTGGTAAACCTCAAGGACACAAACAGGAAGAGACAGAGAGAGCGAGAGAGTGACAGACACAAAGAGAAAATGCCTTGCCAGACACACACATATACATACATACATATGTATCTGCACATAATTGGAGCGAAAAGAAGAAGAGGCCATATTGTTAGGACGCATGCATAGAGGCAGACGTGGCTTGATCGCAGCCATATTGAAACAAAAACAACAGCAGAAAAAGCAGTAGCAGCAGCAGCAGCAAGAGCAGCATTTGCTGGCGCTGTTTTTTTTCTCTCTGCGATGCCAACCCGACAGCGGCTAATAAAAAGTTGACTCGGAGACTCGATAAACGATATTGAAAAGAACGTTAATTAAAGACAGAAACAAATACTGGAAGTAACAACAAAACAATTAGAGCTTGAGTTTAAGCACAAACACACACATAAGCAGACAAGTACATAGATATGCGAGTGTGTGGTGAAAATGAATAAATAAATCCAATACGAATGATACAACAAACAATGAAATGGACACATATGGACATACAACACACATACACATATCCATACATACATGTGCTTACTGTATGCTAATTTAATGTGAATAAAAATGCATATGATTTACATGTGACTATGACCGTTGCTTTTGACTGCAGCCTTAACCTTCTTCAACGGGTTGAGCAGCTGTAGATGTAGCTGTGCTTGTGCGTGTTGTTGTTGCTGCTGCTGCTGATGATGAGTCGCTGCTGTTGGTATTGGTGTTGGTGTTGGTGTTAGTAAGCCGGCTGATGGAAATACTGAAGGTGTTGCTGATTTTGCTTTTGCGGTCGCATCATTATTATTGCTGCTACTTTTGCTGCATAAAAACGTAATGCTGCTCATTTTAGCCAATGAGCCGAACCAATCCGACAAGCCGTTTCGTTCAGTATATCAGAATAAAGCAACAAAATGGGTCAATCACTTGCGTACACACAAACAAAAGCACAGGCACAGACACGTCCACAGACACGCACACAGGCACACGGCACACTCCCACACACACGCACGTATGTTTTCACAATGTGCCTAACGCCTTTTGCATGTGATGCGATTTACTGGCTGCGCTACAGAGTAGCGTGCTTCCGAAATAAATTTCTATTGTTGCTGCTGTTTGTTATTGTTATTATTTTATCTGTTAGATTTGTTTTAGTATATGTAGTGTATTGGCTACCGGCACCGGTCAAAATGCAAGCAACGTGATGCAGACGCGTTGGAGAATGACTAAAATGTGTGTGAAGAAATCGCAATCGGCCGTTGTCTATTTCAGCGACTGTCTATTCGCAGAGCTAAGGTTAGAAGCAACTGACGACGTCGACGTCGACGACGACGACGACAACGACAACGACAACGACGACGACGACGAAGGTACAGCCGAAAGGTAGAGCAGCCACTTTTCTGTTGTTGCTTGATGTTGCTTCGTTATAACTGTGCTTGTGTTTGTTGTTTGCACGAAAAAACGTTTTTTTATTCTGCTGCTGCAACAGCGTCGAGACTTTTTGACGTCGACGTCAAATTTCAGTAGCGAATGAAACTTAATTTGATCATATGTACATATATACAGTTTAAACATATATGGATGTATATATTTACATGTATGTATGTTAGATATCTAACAGAACCACGCTATATCACACGGTTATGTATAACAATATGTAAAATTATTTAAGCATGCATGCGTGTTTGTGTGTGTATCTGCATACATAGGTACGCGATTTGACGAATTTTAATCGCGTGCTCAAGTGTTAAGGCTTCTCGGTGATGAATGAGTTTTGGGTGAATTTCACATATCACTGTTAGCACCACATATTCTTGTTACCTGTCGGAACTTGCAGAACTCGCTGGACTGTAAAATTTTATTTGTTTTGTCTGTGTCACAGACATATTTCCCTAATGTTATGTGCTGCTGCAATTGCAATGTTCAGAACGTTAGAACCACGCGGTGATTACTTTGTCGTCTCTCTTGCCCTCTCACTCTCTCTTTCTCTGTTGTTAACGTGTGCATGTAGTATACCTCAGAAATGTGCGCAGTTGCGGTTTTATTGTCTTAACACTGGCGTTTAGCCCAACGTAATAATCAGCTGAGTGTAATGTACCAAATATAATAAAAGCAAAGAATAACTTAGAAGCATATTTTTTTAGGCATTTGGGCAGCAGAGCAAATTTAAATTTATATATGGTATACGCATACTCGGTATTTTACGATGCTCAGTCAGCTGTTTGTGGTGAACACGGAAATTGTGTAACGTTTACTTAACACTGATTATTCAAATCAGCTGCTTATTGTGGTGGATAGACAAAAAGTGGTCATGGCTATGACAGCTATATTGTTGCTACATGACGATATTTGCATATATGCATATACACTGCATATTGTTGCCCTGGAGAAGAGCGATCAATTGTTTTAAATTATTTTGTACATACGATACATGGCACAACTTGTTACATATAGTTACAGGGAAAACTGAATATTCGTTAAAGTTTATTTTAAATTTGTAGCGATGGCAGTCTAACTGTGATTCTACTGCTTTCGGTGAACATAGTTCCTGAAAAACTGTGACTTCAATATTTCGTGACATGTAGCAGTTGCTTATAAAAAACACATCTCTACTGCAGCTAGCGGACGCAACAATATCAGATAATTTCGTGAACAGCCAGCCCTGGCACTGGACAAAACCTTTTTTATTTTAACCAATTGTTTATGTTGTGTTGAAATTATGATGGAGTAGCTGTGCAAAACTGGCTAGTGCTTCTTTCAATTAGTATGGCCTATATAAATATAGCAGAATGGACGCCCGACCAAGTTACAGACTGGATCCGAGGTAAATCTATGGCTCACTTAACAGGTCAAGGAAAAGTGCAGCAGCAGCAACAACAACAACAACATTCCATTCACATCAAAATTGTAATTGAAACTATTTCTTTAATATATTTGTCTTTCCTACTCGTTGCATAGGTCTCGACGAATCCATGGAAGCGTATTTATACGAATTTTCAAAACACGAAATCAGCGGACGAGCACTGCTTAATATACGGCCATATGAATTGGAAAATTTGGGTATGAAGGCCATCGGCCGTCAGGAAATTGTCCTTGAAGCCGTTGAGAATCTGCGTAACTTTGTAAGTTTACCCTCATTTTATGGTCCATACTAACGGCAATTAGACGATATCTTTATATATATATATACACATACAAATATATACACATATATATATAAAGATAATGTAATAAAAAAATGATGAAAACTTTAAGTTTAGTTATTGTTAAACGGATCCCAGGCTTATAAACTAATGCTAGTTTATATATTCCGACAGTTGCCGCTGGTCTAGTGATTTTAATTTAAATTGCCTTAAATACTAAATGATTATTTTTTATTCAGCATTATCACCTGAAGAATGATAATCTACAGTTTATGGCATTGCATGTGGGCACTGCCGCTCGCAATTTGCATCGTGAATTGGCCAAGAATCATGCGGACAGCACAGATATTGACACTCGCACATTACATGATATAACCCGCACGATTGCGACGTTGAAGCCGCTGATTGGGAATTTGGAGCGATCGCCGTTTCGCAATCAGGACATGTATCGGGAGTATTGTGGAAATGTGTTGCGCTGTGGCTTGGAGTTGGCCACGATAGCACACAGGGATCGCTTTGCAGAGCGTCCAGTTGCTCAGATCAAAGCAACAGCAGAGCGTTTGGAGCGTCTGGCTAATTTCATAATACAAGATATTTCGGATCCGATGGTTCTGCAGCCAGCATCTCTCAATCTTGTGACACTAAAAAAGCGTGAATCAGATCTGGGCTTTAACATCGAATCGAGCTATAATGGCATTCATCGCGTTACTGATATCAAATACAATTCACCTGCCCATAATTCGGGTAAGATCGAGGATGGCGATGAGATCGTCCAAATTAACTACCAGACAGTCGTCGGCTGGCAGCACAAGACTGTGCTTCATCATCTGTGCGAAGCTCTGCCAGATGTTGTGCTCACCGTGAAGAAACGACCGAAGCATACCAAGATGTATGGCCAGATTTATATGCAGCCCTATCGGCTGCCAAGCAAGAAACGCAACATGGCCAGTCGATGGGCGGACAATTTGCCCAGTCCGAGTCCACGGGCCGCCTTCCTAACGCTGGAATCGACGCACAAAACGCCGCGAGCCGATGACGGCAAGGGCGTCAAAGTGAAGGAACTTGTGAAGGAGCAGGTGCAGGCGCAAGCTGCTTCAGATTCGGATTCCAGTTGCAGTGATATACCCACGCCCACTGATCCAAAGTCTGCCAGTCGCGAGATGCGCTTGTACTATCCTAAGCCTAGGGCACTGCTGCAGCGGCGTAACACAATTTGTGGTGATGAATTCCTTAGCTTGAAGCATCCACATTTGGTGATACCCTCTTGGCATGAGCGTAAGCCCGGTAGCGGCGGTGGCGCAGGTGCTATTTGTGATCCTGGCTCGCCCAGCATTCGAGACAAGTCTATCTCGTTTGGTTATGGCCTCGAGATAGCTCCCCGACCCACAACCTGTATAGGTCTGGCAGCCAGTGAGAGTGCGGACACAGACAAGCGGCTGTTCAACGAGGCGCGCAAATTAAAGCAGCTGACCGAGGCGGGCCTGGCGTCCCAGCAGCAGCTGCAAATGTTGGATCGCTATAAGCCCGGCGTTAGCAAAGTAGTGCGCTTCGATGCTAACATGAAAGTGGAGGATTATGTGGTGAAGAACGAGAAATTTACGTGCAATGTGGAAAATACCATACTGGAGACCTTTGAGCCAATACCATTCGCCGATGAAGGTGACGAGGATGCGCTAGAAACGCTGCGCAGCTGTGCCAACGAATCCAGCGCCGAGCTAATCCAAGCCATGGAACTGGCTACACGCGAAACGCCGCCGCTGGCGGAGGCCATCAACACGCCACTCATCCAACAGCAGCAGCAGCAACAGAATCGCCGCGGGCGACTAGACAAAAGTCACAGCACGCCAGCCTATGATAATTCGGGCGAGGAGGAGTCAGATACGCCACCGCCAGCCATTGAGCCGCGCAAAGAATTTCTGCTAGTGACGCCGCCAGCACCACCGCCGCGTCCGCGCAAACAACGCGAGCTAACACCACCCGTTGTGCCACCACCGCCGCCCAAGCCAGCTAGCATGCAGCAAGCAACCACTGCAGCGGCTGCAGCAATAGCAGCAGCAACAATAGCAACCACAATAACCACAGCTAGAGAACAGGAGATCAGTGAGTTGTTGACACCTAGCAAGACGCGTACGTTGACGTTGAAGAAGAAGCACAGCCTTATGGCTAAACGGCGCAATACGAACCTCAAGCTTCTGGGCACTGGGGACATTCAGGGGCATCTGTACAGGCGTACGAAAAACTTGCGTGGAGTCACCTACTGGGCACGCATCTACTTTGTCATGCTGGATACCATTTTGTATGGGTTTCGCAGCAAGCAAAGCTCAAGCGCCAGCTTAGTTATTTTCCTGCCTGGCTTTACTGTGTCGCTGGCCAAGGAGGTGCACTCGAAGCCGCATGCCTTCAAGGTGTATCACACGGCCAAGAGTTTTTACTTTGCCGCCGAATCACTGGACGCGCTTAATCAATGGGTGGAGTTTCTAAGACTTGCCTCGCTCAAGCTGCCAGCGGTTAGCAACGAGACGTGCAGCAGCAAGGATCTATACTCGGAAAACGAAAGCTCTGGGGAGGAGGAAAGTGATGCGCTTATAAGCACAAACCTTTGCACACCATCACCGCAGGCAGCCAAAGATGTGGTTGCCACACTGGCAGCTGGTGGCAGTGCTACGCCCACCAGCAGTCTGAGCAGCAACAATAGCATGAAGCACGACCGTGGCTACTTTGACTCGTTGCGCAAATTCACAATGGGCACGTTCAAGAGCAACGCCGCCAAGAACAACTCGAGTGATATACCCGTGCCAACAGCGAACTTTCAAACGTTTCGCAAGGTGCCCGGTGGCAGTTGTGGTATTCAGATAGGCGCCAATACGCCGGGATATCATGATCCGGCGCAGCCGCCCACGCCAACAGCCAAACCGGAGCAGCCGCCAACTGCATCGTTGCCGCGCAAACTGTCACGCAGCTCCAGCCGCAGCTCTGTGGTGAGCGCTGCTTCGACGAGTCTTGGTCCGCCAAATTCGCCGGCGCCCACGATCAACTCGCTACAGCAGCAGCAGAGCTACGATGAAAGCAACAGCCCCAGTCCCAGTCAGAGCCAGAGTCCCAGCCAGAGTCAGAGTCCCAGTAGTAAGTCGAGTCTGAAGAAGGTGCCGTACCATTATCTGCACGCATCAAATCCGAATTTGGAAGTCTTTGAGTATCATCACTCACATACGAAAACATTTATGACGAAAAAGGTAGGCGGAGATGGCACCTTGGATCCGCATCACCAGACGAACAATATACAGGGATATATGACGCTGAAAGATTTGATGCTGCGCAAGCAGCTGGAGGAGTCACAGGAAATGTACAATAATCGTGTGCATCTCGGCGTCGAGAAGCACAACAGACACTTGCGTACCGACTCCAATGCCAGCCAGCAAACAGCAACGGGAGTGGCTGCTGCGCCAGCAACGGCTCCGAAGCAAGTCGTCAATGGCAGTGGCGAGAAGCCGGCAAAGATACAAAGCTTGAGTCTGCCCAAGACGCCGGACTATGAGTTCAGCTTTAAACCGGAAGACGAGAGTATTAAGCGCACGCGCACCAAGGAGGGCCAAAAGCTACGTGACTTTGGCTACGAGCTCATCTTTGGTGATGAGCCGGCAACCAGCAGTAGCAGCAACAACAACAATAGCGCCAGTGTCTCCAGACAGACGAGTTGCAATGAGCACGAGAAACAGCTGTTACTACAGCAACAACAGGAGAAACAGCAGCAGCAGCAGCCACAAAGCACACGGTCCAAGTACTTTCTACGCTCGCAGCAGCTGTCTAGCTTTCTGCATAAAAGCAACAAGAAACAGCAGCAGCACGATCACGGCGAGGTGGGCTCCCAGTCGAGTAATAGTGCCAGCAGCAGCAAGAAGAGCAAAAATAAATCCAGCAGCAGCAGCAGCAGCGACAGACGTTTTCCATTCCCGTCGGTGACCATGACGCTGCCACTGAACAAGAAGTGCAAGTCCAATCATGCGATCGATGGCGGCAACATTAGCGGTAGCGGCGGCGCCAGTAACACCAGCAGCAGCAGCAACATTAAAAAAAGCCAAACGTACAATCAGGATCTGCGGGACAAGGTGGCGGGCACCAAATATGATGCGCATCGCAAGAATTCGGCGCCCATACCCATCTTCTCCAAGCTGTCCATATCATCAACATCCGGCTCCAGTGCGACGCCCACACGACCTTCAAAGGAGAATCGCTTTCTTGGCTCGCCGATGCTGCATCGCACACTCTTTAGTCACCATCAACAGCAGCAGCAACATCAACAGCTACAGCAGCAGCTGCATCAGCAGACGCCCAGCAGCGCGGATTTGGATGCGGACTGCGATCAAGAGATATTCTCCCAAGTCATATTTCCAATGCAAAGTAGTCAGCGTAGTCGTTTTACAGCTGCATCTAATACGAATTTGTGTGCGTCTGAATCGTTGTTGCCGCCTTTGCCACCAGCTCCGCCGCCGCCAATATCATCAGCAACAGCAGCAGCCACTGCTTCTGCCACTAATTCTGCTGCACCTTCGGTTGCTACTGCAGCTACGGCTGCTGCTGTAAAAGAAGATATAGCCCTGGAGCAGCCAACAACACCAAAAGTATCCAGCACCAACTCGGTAGATTCGAAGGCCGCCACGCCGGACTATCCAAATATGGAGTGTCCGCCAGTCTTTGAGCCGGAAATCTATTCGCTCAGCGAACCCAACACGAGCCTCTCTCGGCTTATGCTGCGCAACAACAGCAGCAGCAATACAAACACCAACACCAACAGCAACAATACAAACACCAATAGCCCCAGTAGTGGGGAACATCAAACTTAGGTGTGATGTAAACAATTGTGAATGCTCTATATATACATATATACATTTACATACTATATACTCGTATAGATAAGTATATATAATTTTGTTCTTTTTGGTATTTGTCGATTGATTATTCATATCCTTTTGTACTCACATGCCCCATTAGCCTGATCGATACATATATATATATTTAGATTTATGCATACGAGCCTTATTTGCATTATGAGATTTCGATTTCATCTATAAACAAATATTTAATTACACACAAAAATCAAAGTCTGTGCATCGTAGAAAAACGCTAGAAAAGAATATTAATGAAAATTCTATATGATTTGCCTTTACAATGCGATTAACCAAGTTAATCGAAGCTGTTTGATTTGCTCAACAGTTCGTATCTAGCATATATATATTTATACATAAATGCATTGTAGAGGGCCTTTTAGGACAGCCCAAATGGGCTCCCTCTAATATTTTAGTTAGTATACACAAAATAAATGAATACGTATAAATAAAGTCAACTGTATATAAAAAGATAAATCAAAATTGTCTTTTCCTAATATAGCACAACTTCGAAAGATTATCGATTTAGAATCCCTTTATTCACAAATATTTTTTCAATAACCAAAATGTTGCAGTATGTAAAAAATAATGCAATTAGGCCAGATTTTCGATAAGCCTCTTCACCTCACTCTCGGGCATCATTGTGAACTCTTTGTTTGTTGTTGTCATGGTCATTAGCTCGACGTTGGTCTCGTTTAGTTTTTCCTCCATGACTTGCTTAAGCGTGTTCAAACACAAGTTGATGGCATCGTTCAGTGTCATCTCTGGCGTGTATTTGTCCTGAAGATTCTGTTGGGCGCCCTCGCTGCCCGACCCAATTGCCTTGGCGCAGTAGCGTATATATGTGCCGGAAGGATCCATATGCCAGAGCTGCGGCTGGCCGTTTTCGATGCCGGCAAACAGTACGGCCACACCAAAAGGTCGACTCATTGCGGAGGCACCATCGCCGTCACCGCTGTCACCGAACTGTATGGCCAATGTAGAGACAGCCTGGGCACATGACTCAACGGTCATCGATTCATTGTAGACGAACCAATGATTCTGACATTCAACGCGTGCACGTTCAATCAAGGTGCGCGCATCGGCCATTAGTCCAGATGTGGCGCAGCCAATGTGGTCATCCACCTTCACAATCTTTTCTACTGTCTTCGGCACCATCATTGTTGAAGTGATGCGCTTTTCCACGGCCAATACAACGCCTGTACAACACTTGCGAATAGTTAATTTGAATTTAATTGTGAAAATTTTACAATACTTACTGTCGTTTGTGCAAATGCCAATTGCAGTGGAGCCCAATTTGATAGCCTCTATGGCATACTCTACTTGAAAGAGGCGGCCCTCGGGCGAGAAGGTGTTGACACCGCGATCATACTCAGAGCGTGTAAGAAACATGACGATATTTTCAGCTGCAAATCAGATATATAATAGCATTGACACATCTATAATAGAATGAAAAAATTTGGCTTACTGCTTTTTTAAATTGACTTTTAAACGACAAACAAACCAATTTCCAAATGCCGGAGTGACTTTGATGCTAAAATGACTTGCGTATAAAATGACAGCGGCAGTGCTGCTAAATGCTAAAAATAAACAGTGCTGCATAACAGAATCAGGTGGCAATATAAATACGGCCACACTGCTTCGTCGCCGAAGCGCCAGAGTTTGAATTGTCTGCATTATACAAATCAACTTAATCATGCATAAGTACCACTTTTATCTAAATGCATTTTATTTCTATTAAATTGATATAATTATATATGTATATAAAATTATATAATAAGCATAATTATATAATAAGCAGTCATTTTAGTTTCTTATTAAAAATAAAAGTGAAATAAAGCGTTTACTGATTTCCCTTGTTGGATATGAATCCAGTTTTCTGTTGATGCGGTAAATCTCACAACTGTTCAATTTAAATTAAAGCGAGAAACTGTTGCACGCATACAGAGATATAGTTGATATTTTTGTTTGTGATTGTACTTTTTAACAACTATGACCAAAAAAATATTTTAAAAAATCATACATATGCAAATTTGGAACACTTTTCGTTAATTTTTAACAATTTCAAGGACTTGTCGCAAAGATGTTAGCAACTATCTTGGTACGATTGCTTAAGACTGATTTACTGATACCTTTTAAAGACATTACATAAGGCCAAGCAAAGGGCTAGACAATCTCTTTGTTTTTTTATTGTTGCCAAATAAGAAATGGAATTACTAGGTCAAGGCTAATGTATGGCAACTGGCAACTGGCAACTGACACCCGGCCCTTCTATTACACACTTAAGCTTTTCATAAACTTCGTACAAAAACTGACTTTTCCAAAGGGAGAGGCACTCACAATTAAAACGAAGGTCATTGACCAAAGTAATAGTTGCATATGTAAAAAAACATGTATATACATTAGCTTATTGTATTAAATCTGTAAAACTATTAAGCTGTAAAGCCGTAAATATGCGACGAGAATTGTTGTTACACAAATAGCTAACTCTAATTCATAATTAGAAACGCAATAATGGGCAATTAGTGCGCGAAATATAGCGCTCAGCTGCATGTTGAAATAGAATAGGCATGTAAATGCTTATGTATCTGCCGTTCCACCTCTTTCATCGTTCCACCTGCCTACCCCTGCTCTCTCTCTCTCTCTCGTCGTAGACTGTCTTCCGCGTCTTGTGCGAGTTTCGAAAAAAGAAAAAAATGTGTTTTATGCTTTATTGCTGTTTAATACATTGCTAATGTTACTCAGCGAATGTCTGTCTCTATGTGTGTGCTTGTATGTGTGTACATATGTTTAATTTTGGGTTTTGTTTTAGTTTAAAGCTGCGGCAGGCAACTGCATGTTGGCTTTTTAAATAGCCAAACGGCTGGGGTATCTGGCTATCTATTCAATTTAATGACTCTTATTGCACAAACAAAACCTAACACACGCACACATCTACATGCATAAATACATACATATATGTACATATATCACGTGTATGTACAGTCACGCTGTTAGCTCCTACAGGCTGTAATCACGAATCGTGCCACATCGAGTCAAGTCTCCAAATTGTTGTTGGCTGACTCTGTGGCATGTTTCGAACCTATCAAGGCTGCAAATCAAAATGGTTTTTTGAACCGAACCACTTTGAGCCCGGAAGCTTGAAACTCGTACTGGAACAGATGGAAAAGAAAGAGCTGTATCAAAATCTAAAAAGAATTATATGTAATAAAGATTAACCAAACAAAAATCAAAATAAAATTACGTTTATATATAATAATATAGAAAATATTATGTTTTAAAGAGTATAAATAATTGATAATAAAATAGACAAATAGATCGGTAAAATAGATAATAAAATAATTATTTATTTTAAATCTATTTTATAAAAGACATAAGAATATAAATTAGGTCTAAATACTTACTGTAAAGGTTTTCATACTCTTCCATGAATATTCTTAATATTTTTTATTTTTAAATGAATTTTATATATTTTTATTTTTTGAATATTAAAATTATTGTTTTAAAATTTTTAATTTAATTTGAAATATATAAAAATATTAATTATCTTTTTCAAATTGTACTTCTGTGTTTAAATAATATGGTAAATGATAAATATGAAACTGAAAGTTCTTAAGAAATGCTTGAAGTGCACATTATATATATATAAAATAATATTAAAAGATATGAATACCTACATAAGTTATTAACTAAAATTTAGCTAAACATTATTTGTGATCAATTCTATGCATATACATAAGAAACCAAATATTTATAACTTGTTAAAATAAAATGTTATGGGAATATACAGCTATGCGGGTTTTAAAACATTTAGTAAAACAAGTTAACGAAATGAATAGTAATTTGTTTAGGGCTGCATGTGAAAAGCCTTCCACCAATAAGAGTATCTTGTGTACAGTTTAAAACTCAATGCCAATAAAAGAGTTAAAGCTTGACAAAGAGCGGGCAAACAAGGTAAAATGGGATGAGGCACAAAGAAATTATGATGTATGGGCTATCAAATGTCGTACGCATTGGGTTTAACCTTCGTCATTGTTGCTTTTGCCACTTACCACACACATTTTGTTGGCGACGAGTCATTGAAATAGAAAACAAATGCAATCGCTAGTCGATTTGCATAATCTAGCATTGATATCAAAGTGTGTCTATTGATATGCCTCTGAACGTATCCCATTCACGCAGGCTCCAAAACGCGGGAACGAGACGAAACGAAACGAAACGAAACGGAATTAACGCGATGTCAATGTCTGGCTTTAGCCATTACATAAAGCCAATAACTGCAGCTATAACTAGCTTAATTCATATTGTTATTATGTATGTATGTAAGTGAGTGCGTGTATGTATATGTATATGTATATGTATGTAAATATATAGCTGTATATCTATTTACATTTATCTATCTGGGTCTTTGTAACGATTTCCTAGCTATTGTTATAGGATAACGACCCGAAGACAACGTTGTAACACATCAAGCATAGCTCCTGACTTGGCCAACGGGATGAACGCTATTCGATATATGAGAAACAAGTTGTTGCTCATATAACACACAGTTCCCCTCAACATTTCATTACTAAGCCAAATCCAACAGCAACAGCAAAAGCAACAGCAACAGAAATAATAACAACAACAACAAAAGCTTCAAAGTTGCGAATGTGCCGCAGCTTAAAAGTTGTTGCCGCAGTCGCCGATCGGAGATCGGAGATCGGAGTGAAGCGGGGGCTAGGGGAACTGGGGGCTTAGTGAATTGCGTTGCGATAGACCAATTTTTTGGTGTGTATAAAAGCCGAGTGCAGCGAGTCAGCGAATCAGTACCAACTGGGATCTCGTTATTGGTATAACACAGCTTATTGTGGAGTAATTGGTTTTCCTCGTGAGACGTCAAAGCAACAGCTCAACAATGCGAATGGTAAAGGAAGACTCGTTGCGTTTCATTTCTGATCTATGTGCGAAATATTAACTGGTGTTATTGTGATCCGTTTAAGGAGTATTCAGTTATACAAATATATATATATATATGGACATCCTTTTACAGTTCGTTCTTCCTTGTCTCGCCGTGTGCGTGGCAATGGCCCACTGTGCGGCCATCGATGAGAAGGCTGAAAGCAGCCAAGCTGAGGATGCTGGCAAGACTGTGGAGAAGCGTGGCCTCCATCTGGGTGACTATCATCATCATCATGAACATATCAAGACAGTGACCATTGAGAAGAAGGTGCCGGTTCCCTACACTGTGACCAAGCATGTGCCTTATACGGTTGAGAAGAAGGTAAGACAGCTTGATCAAATGATAAGGAGTTGGTCGATTCATCGATTCATTCGATTTGCCAGATCCCATACGAGGTGAAAGTCGATGTTCCACAGCCATATATTGTAGAGAAGAAATATCCGGTGCATGTGAAGGAATACGTCAAGGTTCCCGTTCATGTGCCTAAGCCCTACATTGTGGAGAAGAAAGTACCATATGAGGTGAAAGTGCCCGTCGACAAGCCGTACGAAGTGAAAGTCCATGTACCAGAACCATATGAAGTGATCAAGAAAATTCCCTATGAGGTTAAGGTGCCAGTGCCACAGCCCTACGAGGTGATCAAGAAGGTGCCACATGAAGTGAAAGTGGAAGTGCCAGTGCCCAAGCCCTATGAAGTGATCAAGAAGGTGCCGTACGAAGTTAAAGTAGAGGTCGAGAAACCATATAACGTTGAGGTTGAGAAGCCCTACGATGTTGAGGTCGAGAAACCGTACACAGTCGTTGTCGAAAAGAAGGTGCCCTACGAGGTGAAGGTGCCCGTCGATAAGCCCTACAAGGTTGAGGTAAGTTTTCGAGAGAGTCCTTTGGCTACTTCTTCATATTCATATTCTATTTGAAATCTACATTTTGGATCCATATATTTTGATTCTCTAGGTGGAGAAACCATATCCCGTGCACGTTAAGGTGCCCGTACCACAGCCCTACACTGTTGAGAAGAAGGTACCCTACACCGTCGAGAAGCCCGTGCCTTATGAGGTTAAGGTGCCCATTGAGAAGCCCATACCCGTCTACACGGAGGTGAAGGTGCCCATTCACAAGGAGATTCCCGTACCAGAGAAATACCACGTCGAGGTGCCGATCTTCAAGCACCACGAGGATCATCACAGCTACCATGGCCACCAGGGTCACCATGGTCACTATTAAAGATGAAAATGAGCAAGAGAACTTGGCATGACTGCCACCACAGAACGCGAGCACAAGGAGTATACGAACATCAACAAGAACAACGAGGTAAAGAATATGTTAGAGAAGACACAAGGACACTGGCAGAGAGTCTTTGTCGCAACGTTGAGCTGGACGTTGAACGGGTGATAAACACAAGGAGGAGAGGAAACAGAGCAGAAGGAGGAGCAGCACAAGTAGCAGCACAGAGGACAAAACTGATTAGCTGGCTACTTGGCAAAAACAACAACAACAACAAAACGAGATCTGGCGAATTTCGTTTAGCGAAATTCGCATATGTTTTTAAGCCAAATGTGTTATACTTTTATTTGTATCATTGTTTTAGTTTTTTATTTAAATTATAAGCGAAAGAAACACTGAAAAAAGAAAAGAAAAACAAAGCCACAGCGAAATGCATTAATTGGGCGGAACGGAATGGGAAATGGGCCGCTTGCCATTTAAGTGAAAGTGAAAAGCAAAGTTTGCGACCCACAAAGCGTGCAGCGTAACACAAATGAAGACGGAAAACTGAAAACTGAAAATTGAAGAAAAACCAGTTACCAGCAACCATTGTTGTTGTTGTTGCTGTATCTGCAATTCGATTGTGTATTCTTGGCCAGTTGGTTATGCAAGAGGCACACGAGCGATTGCATAACGGAAATTAATTACAGGAAGTGTAGCTTCATACACTCGAATTAACAAAATCTGTCTGGCCAATCACTTGGCAATTGTAAATTTTCGCAATTTTTCGTTGCTGTTGTTGCCTTACTTTGTTTTCTTTAACTGCTTTGTCATAAGACGTTCGAAAAATTTGAATGCTGCATTAACAGAGACACACGTACAATCTTTCACACACACACATTCAGACATATCGCATTTGCTTGGAAGGTAAGACCTGTCTTCGCCTGGCTTTGCATTCAGCTTGCCGCATTTTATTTTTATTGGTAATTGAAGCTGAGGCACCTGCTGAAACCCAATAAAATCAAAGCTTTTGGCCTCGTTTTTGGTCGAAATGGTAATTGTAACAGTATCGTGATACATCATGTGGTTAAATTGCTAAATTGCTATTGTCTTACGAAATGGTAAAGCACTCGAAATTGCAATTAAAATACATTCATTGCGCAACATTGCAATTGCTCAACAATTTGAATTGTGCGCCTTAATAGTGAGCGCCCTGTGACGGACAGAGTTGTTTTACATCCTATAACAGGGTGTATGCTGTGTGGATGTTGTGGAACTTAGTCATCTGCACTCGCCAATCAGCTGTTATTGTTGTAGATGCAGTAGAAGAAGAAGAGTGGCATTCACATTTCTCATTAAAAACAAATTAAACAAAAAATTTATTTAAAATAATTAGTGTATGTGTATATGTATGTGTATGTGGAAAGATGGCCGATGATGGAGAAAACTCAGTGGATAACAAGCTCACAGACGACAACAAGCCAGAGAAAATGTTTACGCTAAAGAAATGGAATGCTGTTGCAATGTGGAGCTGGGACGTCGAATGCGATATTTGTGCCATTTGCCGCGTTCAAGTCATGGGTAAGTCGTACTAGATCATTCCTGTTTATAAATGTATACTATATATGCATATCTGATTTACAAAAGCAGAGAACAAACTTTAGATAAGCTATGGCACTATAAAGAAAAGCGCAAACTACACTCCAAACAACTGCAACTGTAGATCTGAAAAGAGTTTCTTTAGCAGGATGAGGCATTCTTTGAAGACTTAAGGATCTTTGGAACTCGAAGCTCTGAGCTGAACTTATACTTAAAACACATTGATCTGGCCATATAACTTAGAGCGTTGCTCACTATGCCAAAGAGATTCAAACGCTTGATTCTGAAGACGTCATTATTTATGAAATGCTTCATATAGACCAACCTTTACGGGTATAAAAGCCTTTGTTAAAGTATTATCAATCCTTAGTTTCTAAGAAGTCATTCTGTACACACAAAACACTTTTCTAATAGAAACACATTGGCCCAAATAACTAGTGAGATGAGCTGAATAAGGATTTCAAGCATGAATCGAATTTCGAATAATCAATAGTACATAAAGGACTAGCTCATAGCAAAAGTCTATATTGTGGCCATAAATAAGTGTGTTTGAAACACTAAATAATTAGACTCTATTCAGAAAGGTTTGTTTCTGTATGACATGTATACGAATAGCACTTTTCTAGATTCTCAAATCTAACTAATTAAGATCAGTCTTACAATGAAAAACTCAATTGATTATCCCAGATTTATTCTTAGAACTCCGCTAGCTGCGATACAAAAATGATAGTTGTGTTTAAAAATGTGATGTTCTAAAGATGAGATCTTCACAGAGCTTAAGTGACCTCTAATGCAGTTCATCGTTCAGTTTATATATATCCTATATCATGCTTAGTCATATTTTCAAATGTCTTCTTAATCTGGGCACATATAGTTTCCATTGACGTTCGGTGATACGAATCTACTTCTAAAATATCCTCGTAAATCGAGAGAGCTTAAGAGCTGGGGTCTTATATTTGTCCATTTTTGTGTGGCAAATCGGAAAGCATCATATGTTGTTGCATTCATCTATCTCCATTCTAATATGACTTGAAAGTTCATTGACAATTTGGAGAACATAAAATTTTGCAATCTTTTATTTTTAGATAGTGAATGCGTATTATACGACTGTTATGGTCTTATTTGTTTTAATATTTATTATATTCTAGATGCTTATATTTCCAATGACCGACTAAACTAAGAAATCTCAAAATATATATATTTATATTTTTAAATATCCTTAAAGGAAAAACTTTTTACTAACGCCAACAAATATATTTGGATTTAGTTAAGAAACCTTATGCAAGATGGTTTAAAACACACTCTCCTATACAATTCTATTTTTGTATTACTAAGATTATTTTTGCCGTTGCATTGCTTTGTGTGGTATTATAAAATCGATGTCTAATCTGTCAGCATTCATCCAATAAATGCAACGCCATATAGTTTGCTTTGTAAATTGGATTTGATTATGAGCCCGTAACATCAGCGATAAGCGATCGATCGAGTCGAACTGCTGCTTGACTATCTGAGACTTTGTATTCATGTATAAGTCGAATATTCTGTAAATATCAATATATAGAGTCTAGCTCTGATTACGTTGCTATATATATTTTTTATATAGCTATATATTCAGATGCAGCTCATGTGCACCGCATGTATATGTATGTGAGGGCATATATGGTGCACTCTAGAATGGGGATTGGGAAATAGACATGAATATATATATATATATATATATATATATGTGAGTGCATATAAATTATAATGCTCACGTATTTGCGACCGACATTGTGAAACTGTAAATTACGTTTCGAAGGTCGCATGCAAATATTTGATATTGCATTAAAATAGTTTTTTGGCATGGGCGCAACTTCTTCAATTCTCAGAGGGGTTCACGCTGACTCCGTTTAAAAAGAAGAAAGTTCATTTGTTTGTTATTATATTCATTAAATTTAATTTATACATTATTGTTTTATTTTCTAAGTAAGATTCTTGTTTCCAATATTCGAATAGCCAATTAGATTCAACTTGTTTTTGGGGTGAAGAAGGAATTGGGTATAGGAATAGGGAACATTATTAATTTGCCTTTTTTTAGTTCTCTTATCAACTACTTGTCATTTTTCTACAGAGATTCGACTATTCGATTATTCGATTCATAACTCATAATTTACAGAATCATAAAAACTAATGCGACTTAGCGACGATATAAATAATAATAATAACAATAAAGGAAATTCTTTTGCTAAATAAAAATAAAGCCACGCTCAATCGACAATCGACAATTGACAATCGACGCTAGCTATAGTTATCGTCATCGATGACGTCATAGTTATACAACTTAAGCACTAAGACACTAGACTAATATTTGGTTTGATCGCTTCAAAGATCCTTCATCTTCTGTATTTCAATCTGGTGCGATGTGAAGATCTCACAGAATTACATATTGAAGGACAATGGCTTAATATTCGCAACCGAGGACATGCGACGGACGCGTCCCATCATCTTGCGCTCAATATCCTCCAGCGTCTTGCCCTGCGTCTCGGGCACATAGATTATCACAAAGAACAGGCCAACAAAGCAGATGGCGCCAAACATCCAAAAGGCACCATGTGCACCCATGAAATCTACAGATCCAGATAGTTTAATAAATGATTCCGAGAGCATCTATCGTTTGGTTGGCTTACCTATCATATCCTGGAAGGATTTGGTTACCACAAACGTGCAGGACCAGTTGAAGGCGGTTGCCACAGAGGCAGCAGAGCCACGTATCTTGGCCGGCAAAATCTCGCCCATCATTAGCCACGGAATAGGTCCGAAGCCCAGCGAGAAACCCAAAATGTAAACGACAAAGCAACTGAGCGGCAGCCAGCCCACATTCGAGGTATCCATGCCCGTGGACTTGCAATAGAAGAAGCCGCCCAGCACGAATAGCGTCAAGATCATAGCCACATTCGAGACGTACAGCAGGATCTAGGAAAAGAGAGTTTTGTTTGCTATAGCACTTGATTGATGACTGGAGACGCGCTTGTCCACTCACTTTTCTGCCAGCCCGATCGATCAGCAGCGTTGCTATAAATGTAGCCATAAAGTTGACCACGCCCACAATGATGGTGCAGACATTGCCATCGATGGTGGAGCCAGCATCTTGAAAGATTTGCACGGTATAGAAGATGACGGCATTGATGCCGCTCAACTGCTGGAAGAACATCAAGCCGAGCGATATGGACAGAGGCTTCAAATTGCTGCGCTTGAGCAGCTCAAGCATTGTATTCTGAGTCGCCTGTCTGTCGGCATCTGCTTGGGAGCGCATCAAACCCTTCAGCTCCGGCTCCACATCAGCCTCCTTGCCGCGCAGCCAGACGAGCGCCTTGCGCGCCCGCTCCTCGCGCCCCCGGCTCACATACCAGCGTGGTGTCTCCGGTATGAGGAACATCAGTATAAGAAATGGAACGGGCAGCGTGCCACCCAGGAAGGCCAACATCGACCAGTCCATGTAGGTGCCGGCCACAAAGCACAGCAATATGCCAATGTTACCAAACGCCGTGGGCAACAAACCCAGTGTGCCGCGCACCTCCGGCTGCACCGTTTCGCCCAGGTAGACGGGCAGCGACAGCGACGCAATGCCCACACAGAAGCCAGCCAAGAAGCGTCCACAAAGCACCATCACCACATTGACAGCACAGGCGATCAGCAGCCACGAAATGATGAACGGCACAGCTGTGGCCAGAATCGTATTACGCCTGCCCAGGTACTCAATGAACGGACCGCCAGCTATGCCACCAGCCAGACCAGCTAGAGGCATAATGCCGCCCACCCAGGAAGCCTGCAAGAGAGAGAAATGTACATGGAATTAGGGATTTGTTTTCAATTTCTGCTGACTTCAGCTTTACTTAAGAGTATTTCAATTCATAGTTCGATCTGATCGGATATAGAAGTGCGAATTGAGATTTAATATTTCAACACAAAGCTTTATTTGTTATTAGGGATATAGGTATCATATTTGGCAATTAGTATCTCAAGTCAAAATTTCTAGACAGCTTCTAACAGAATTTGAAATTAATTTCAAATATTTTTTAATAGTCAAAAATTTTTAAGAAATTCTGGGTAATTTCAAGTTGAATGAAAAGAAAAATTTTTAAATTTTTTTAAATATTTAAATATTTATATATTTATTATTTTTTTTTTATTTTTTTATTATTTTAGTTTTCTGCTAAGAACTACTCTAAAAATTTGACAAAGAACTTGACAAAGAAAAAATCCAATTTCAATACAAAATATTTCCATTTTTGATAAGAACTACAAATTTACAATCGAAAATAGTTGTGGACTTGAACTCACAGCCAAGACCTCGTCAGCTACCCATTGCTAAGGTCACCTAGCTTCATGAATCAATTCACTTTATGACTATTTCAATGGAAATATGAATGCTTCAACAACATTTAAGAATTTCATTGAGTCTAGCCAAGTTTTTGAGTTCAAAGTTGTCAATGCAAATCAATTCTTATTAGACTCGGAAAGTATTCGAAAATGTTAGCAAATCTTACACAAAAGTGAAACTTAGCTTAGAATAACTTGAATTGGGATTACTCAAGCTAAATATCTTATGATCTGTTTTATCCTTAGCTGAAATGTGATCAAATAGGCAAAGGAAAATAGTTTGGACTTGAGATCTGAACACAATTTTGTTGCATTTGATTCTAGCTCAATTATGATCATTGCACTTTCAAGAACTATTCTTAACTGAATTGGACTATAATTTCGTGTTAGACTTACCGCTTGAGGTGTTACCACAAAGGATGTCAGCGTGGTGTTTGTCATGGAGACCAAAGCGGGCGAGGTATAGGCGCTGGCAAAGCCCACGACCAACGAGCCCAGCGACACACTCAGCGCAGCTAGCACCTGAAATGAGATATGAAAAATATATTAATGTGATAGATGTATATGTATTAGTGCAGTTAAAGCCGAAATCAACCTGAGAGTAGGTGCACTTGGCCTTGGGC